TTCCATCAAAATGTCCCATGTGATTATTAATTTTGAAAAACACAATCTTGTCACAACTATGATATCTACTTGGCTTAAACATAGCGAAGATAGTGACAATAGGCAGTATAATCTCATATCAAAGTGAAAATTTGTGCTGATAAATTGATGTTCTCTGCAACATACCAAATGAGCTTGACCTTGAGCTTTACCCTTACAAGCAGAAAGTATTTCGAAAGCTCTCCAACCTTGAGACTAAATTAAGAAGAGAGTGGTAACCTGTAATTTTTTCTTTTTCTTGCAGCTGCAAATGAATTACGCACTGTAAATTGCTGTAAATTGCAAAATTGTAAAATAAACTACAACTTGCATATAATCTGTGCAAGACCTAATTCGGGATTTATATAGACAATGTACTTGCTTTTCTCATCATTGGTTGAGTTTTAATAGCAACTGTTGGATTTCAGATAAAAAGGATAGATAGATAAGAAAGGATAAATAAACGTGTTTGATTTTATATACAATCAATATAAATATGATGAAAGTATTTTGGTTGAGTAGATGGCAGTAAAAAAAAACAAAAAATATCCAGTTTGAATCTCAGGTAAATTTAGCTTCATTTTTTTTTTTCTTCTTTAACAATTGTAGGTAATTGCAGTAAAAGGAAGATTAGGACGGTTAATTTTCAGCTCTGCTTCATGTTTTTCCAGTTTACTACCTTCTTTAATCCATTCTATGTGATCTAAAGTTTATATAATTAATATTATTAGAAGTGGTTTCCAGGAGAATAGATATCTGTATGTGTCAAACCAAGAGAACACAGTCAACATATTTCGATAAATATATGTGTGTGTGTGTAAAAGGTACTAAACAAGCCCTTCTATGTAGTGTAGTTGAATTACAGGTGGCGGCTAATGATACACTTCAGTGGCTGTTCTCTTTATTTTTAAGAGTTACACGCACTAGTTTTAACGACACAAAAACAGAGTATCTGGCGGTGCTGTGTGGGACACTCCGGACTGGCCCGGAGAGGCAACGGCCGGGAGTGGTCAGCTCAGGTCAGGAGCGACCAGCCCGGTCAAGGGGCCGGCTCGTCAAGGTGTTAGTGTGAGAATGAGAACGAGGGTCAGCTTTGATGACCTTATATATCCCATGGCTGGCGGTGTGGCTTCTATTCTCAGAGAGCATGGCTTGGGGGTTAAGCAAGGGCAGACAGCGTGGGCACGCACGTGGTCTAGATATGGACACACGTGAGGACCGCATGGTACACTATGCAGTATGTTATATTGCACCCTATATTGCACGGCCACCACCGTACACCTCGTCCTCGTGGCGTCATCTGAATTCCTCAAGGGTGACCTATCCGCTGGTCATCTCGTCGCGTTCCTGTTCTTGGTCGTCCTTGTGCATCTCCTCGTTGTCGGCCTCTTCATCTTGGTCCTTGGTGTATCCATCGGTCATCGACGTCCACACGTCCTCGAAGATTTCGCCTAGGTCCTCCTCGACTTCGTAGTCCTCATCCAGGTGGTACACGGCGGCATCGTCGTCCACACGTCCTCGCAGATTCGTCCAGGTCCTTCTCGGCTGCGGCTCGTACCGACGTCCTCGTAGCCTGCGTCTGGGTCTAAGGCGTCCTGGGCAGGGGCGTCCTTTCGACTGAGGGCGGCTTATTCCTGTGCTGGGAAGCTCCTGGAGTTTAACCAATCTATTTGCGTCCAGGCAGGCGGCTGTCCATAGCATCTTGGGGCCTGCTCTGACGAGTTCCTGGTTCTTTACTGGATCTACGGGAGTCCTGACAGGCGGTGCCCGTCCACTTGATCTGGGCGGCTTAATGCCTGCAGTCGCGAGTCCTCGTCCTTTGGCCTGCGGCGATCTTCTGGCAATGTTCGTCTCACGGCATTGCAAGCCAATCGTGCTGCAGTTAGATCTCCTTTGATGCCGTGTGGGATATCCACATCCATTATATATATATCATGAACCAGTTCATACACGTAAGGGCCAAGACAGTAAGAGAAAAAGAAAAAACAACAGAGAGGGAGGGATGTTAATCAAGTGCTGCTAGCCGATGTTCTTATGCTAATTTGCAGATTTTAATGTGGTTATTTCATTTATTTTCGTTTTTTTTTATCACTTCTGTATTTTTCAAGAAGAAAATAAATGAGTGAGAGGAGAGTAGCAGTTCTCAGATCTCAGATAGATATGAGAATAGATAAGGGAAATGACAATGGCATCCGCAAAGATAACTTGAACCGATTGTCATTTCATAAAGAAGAAAAAATATGTATTGTGCATCATTTCCACTAATCCCAATCAGCAACGCCACAAGGCGAAAGAATTGCCTTAGACTACAACACAACAAATCCTATAGCTGCAGGTTTGATTTAACAGTGTCTGTTGAACTGCGTGGAAGAGTGTGTGAAATGATTGCGTGTATGTTTTAACTCATCATGGCAACATTGCGGGTAAAAGAGATAACCTGTAATCATGCACAACAAATCCTATAGTTGAAGATTTGATTTTACAGTGTCTGTTTACATGAATGAGTGAGTGTGTATGTAATTATGAGTGTGAATAGCGTGAAGAGAAAGCGAGCTCACACGAAGAAGGGAGCACAAACAAGAATTTAACATTCATTTTAGCAAATGTTATTATCATTACTATGTTAATACAACAATTATTCTAATTACCCCAAGAATTCAACATTAAATGAAATGCAACTTAACATACGCAAATGAATGGGGACATGAAATTCCTTTTGCAAGCTTCCACAATGCAAGTATCCCAGTTCAGAAATGTTTTTTACGTTATCCCCTATTATTTAATCGTAATTACAGATACACTACAAATTCTAATAGACTGACATAATAATTTCTCGCTTATGTATGTTAGAGCTAGTTTTCTTCAACAGTGGGTTCCCTTCTACCCAAATTATCTGAATGAAATGAAGCGACTATATGAGACTCGAATTTTATCGTCTTTTACTCTACAATTGTGAATGGCGCACACAGATATCAACTACGAATCACACAATTGTCAGAATTTTCCGGACATGCCAGTGGTAAAGAAAGGTGAGACGGTTGTGATTACTAAGCGAATTCATTCAAGCTTAAACCCTAGTCCTTTGCCTAATCAGACGTAATACAGGTTCACACTGACTCAATATGTCGATATTTCATTATACTTAGTCTCAAACATCGAGTGCAGCAATCTATTATTCATTACGAAATCCTATGCATTATTGCATGATGAAAAGGGAAGATTGTTATGCTTTATTCATTAAAATGAATTTACAAATATTTGTGATCAAGGTATTATTCTTTGCGCCGAAAGAATTGTCACTGAATAGCATTGATGGCATCACTACAAGATCCCTCCCAGCCCGTGACCGTAAGTGAAAGTGAGGTCGAGGGTGGGGGGGCCTGTTTACTACAGAGAAAATTAAATGTTGCCCGTGAGTGCGAATATCAAAATCAGTCAGAGAATGAAATTAACCAAAGAGTCCAACAATGAGTGAAATTCAACAATCAATTAACGAAATCCGTACAAGAAGAGAAAGGAATACACAGAATTTGTAAGTGATCGCGAATTGAAAAAATAAAATTCTCAGCTTGAGAGAAACTCACGAACTTGAATTGAATTTTGTTACTGTTGAAACAATATGTATGAATATCTAAATGCGAGAAAATTAACTATTTAAAGAACAATATTCAATGTTTGTGACCAGACTTGACATTGTCACAGTTGTAGGCAAGCGGTCTTGTGTTTCTTTGGAGCTGCATTCGGTTTCAAGCCAAAAGGTTGAAACTACCACCCTGCCACCAGACTATAAAGGGTACTAAACAGGCCCTTCTATATAGTTTAGTTGAATTACAGGTGGCGGCTAATGATACACTTCAGTGGCTGTTCTCTTTATTTTTAAGAGTTACACGCACTAGTTTTAACGACACAAAAACAGAGTATCTGGCGGTGCTGTGTGGGACACTCCGGACTGGCCCGGAGAGGCAACGGCCGGGAGTGGTCAGCTCAGGTCAGGAGCGACCAGCCCGGTCAAGGGGCCGGCTCGTCAAGGTGTTAGTGTGAGAATGAGAACGAGGGTCAGCTTTGATGACCTTATATATCCCATGGCTGGCGGTGTGGCTTCTATTCTCAGAGAGCATGGCTTGGGGTTTAAGCGAGGGCAGACAGCGTGGGCACGCACGTGGTCTAGATATGGACACACGTGAGGACCGCATGGTACACTATGCAGTATGCTATATTGCACCCTATAGTGTGTGTGTGTGTGTATATGCATGTATATATGTATATATGAATATATGTATATATATATATATATATATATATATATGTATATATATATATATATATATATATATATATATATATATATATATATATATATATATATATATATATATATATATATATATATATATTTATACATATGTATTTATATGTGTGCGTATGTATATATATGTATATATATATATATATATATATATATATATATATATATATATATATATATATATATATATATATATATATAATTATATATATACCATACATATATATATATATATATATATATATATATATATATATATATATATATATATATATATATATTATATATATATATATATATATATATATATATATATGTGAGTGGATGGTTGGGTGGGTGTGTGTGTGTTTGTGTGTATATATTTTTTCCTCCCCTCTCTCTCTGTTCTCCTTCCCCTCCCCTCCCCCTCCTACCCTCCCCCTAAACCCTACAGAATAAGCACCCTGTAAAACGCGCAAGAATTAGTAGCAATCCCTCTCACCAGGTGGCAGGGACGGCGGCGGGGGCCCTCGCTCAGCTGGGAGTCGGGATCGCCAACGCCTTCTCCGGGGTGATGCTGCCGCAGCTGACCGGCGCCGGGGCACGGGATCTTGTCCTGGACGAGCAGCAGGTGGCTCTTTTCAGTAAGTGTGTGAGGGGGGGGGGGTGAGAGGGAGAAGAGGGAAGATAGAAGGGGGAGGAAAAGAGAGGGAGAGAGGTGGGAAGATTGGGGGAAAGGGAGAAGAGGCGAAGATTGAGAGGGAGAGAGGGAAGAGAGAAGGGAGAAAGAGAGGAGAAGAGAAGAGAGAAGGGGAAAAGAGGAGGGAGAGAGAGGAAACGAGGGGGAGGGGAAAGAAAGGAGGGAGATTGAGAGGAAGAGAGAGGAAGAGAGGAGAGGAAGAAGAAGAAGAGAGGGGGTGAGGAAGGAGATTGAGAGGGAGACGGAGAAGAGAGGAATGGGGAGGAGGAAAGAGAGAAAGAGGGAGAGGAATAGGAAGAGGGAAGAGAAAAGCGAGTGAATGAGAGATATAGAAATATAGAATGGAAAAGAGAAGGATTTGGTTTGAAACATTTTTTTTTTTTATATCCAGTGGACTACTGACTACAAAAAGTGTATAATTGTGTTGTGGACTATGCACACACGCACACACACACACTGTAACCCAGCTATATCTATTTGTAATTAATATATGGTACATTTATATAATCTTACATGTTTGTCATATATGTATTTTCACACATACATACATATGCATAAACGCCTGACCATTGCTTCCCCTGTTCATTCCTCTCTTCTTGCCACACCAGACATTCCAATGTTGTGTTGTCTATCTCTTCCACAAGAGCTATGTATTGTTGTAACCCTTCCTTGTTCATCACCGTTCGTCACATGCTACCCACGTGACTTGGTGCGATCTTTAAACCAGTGTATAGGAGATCAGGCAGACTTCCTGCGAGGAGCCGAGGAGCAACACCTCGCTCCGAGGAGCAGCCGCACTCCAACATTCTATTCAATAAATGGAGTTAAGACACTTTGGTTATCTCTCTTAAACCCCTTGCTCGCCATCTACCAACTCTTGTAGGACCCAACATTAGGGCTCTTACATATACATACACACACACATGCACACACACATACACATACATACACACAAACACACATACTCACACATACACACACACACACACATACATACACACACACAACACATACACACACTACACACACACACACTTACACATACACGCAAATAAAATAATTAAAGATAAAGATTAAGAAAGAATTATAATAATGAATAAATAAATAAATAATGAATAAGTAAATAAATAGATAAACAGATAGAAATAAATAGATCAACAAATAAATGAGAATAAATAAACATAGCCAATATCCACCAAACTGCAACTGACTCGCAAGAATATCGTCTAATTTATCACCCTGTAGTCATTACTTACAGCCATAAGTTAGACCCCGTCCCTCGGTTAGCAAGACCTCAACAGAACACTCAAGATCACACAATATACAAAGTGAACGATGACAAGTGACTCAAGCATTTTCTCTGCTTGATACCCCTGTATTTTCATAGTGTTAGGAACCCTTTTATCACGTTTAACATTTCTACTTTGTATTGGAAATTGGGGGCCAGATGTAGGGGTAAGATTGGGAGGGAGGGAGGGAGAGAGAGAAACAGACAGACAGAGGAGAGAGAGAGAGAAAGGAAGAAAGAGAGAGAGGGGGGGAGGAGAGAGAGAGAGAGAGAGAGAGAGAGAGAGAGATAGAGAGAGAGAGAGAAAGAGAGAGAGGAGGCATACATCTGCTATAGGGGTATCAGAGGCAAGTCTGGGAGCTGGAAAAGGAGATGGGAAGAGAGAGCGAGAGAGGGAGGGAGGAAAGAAAGGAGGTAGGGAGAGAGGGAGGAAAGAAGGGAAAGAGGGGAAAGGGAAGGAAAGAGGGAGGAAAGAAGAAGGAAAGAGAGGAAAGGAGGAAGGGAGGGAGGGAGAGAGGGAGAGACAGACATAAATGGGAATGGAATGTCATATCTCACATTCATGCGATTCGTTACATCGTCATGAAATAGCGATAATAGATTTGCCTAATATTGATTGATTGTTCGATTTTTACATTGCAACATTTGCATTGCACAGTACGAGTCTATTATGTTAATCCCCGGAGATTATTTCCAAATTATACGCTGATATAAGATAATTATGATAATGGCAACGATAATGGCCAAAAAAGGACCTTGATAATGAAGCCCATATTGATAATAAGGATAACTGTAATGATAATCTAAATGATAATTTTGATAGTAACATAATTGATGATAAGGATAAGAATTGCTGATAAAAATGATTTTGATGATGACAGCAATAATGATGATGATAATACTGACGATGTTAGCAATGATATCTGTAACGAAGATAATTATTATATTACGCCTGAAATATTCTATGTAATGCTAATAATGATGATAACGATAGTAATGATAATGATGATAATGATAATGATAGTAATGATATTAATGATAGTAATGATGATGATAATGATAATAATAGTAATAGTGACATTGATAGCAATAGTAATGATTAAAATAATGATAAGGATATTGGCTATGATTATAATATGATAATACTAATAGCAATGTTTGTGATAATGATGACGTAAAGCTTTACGTCATCATTATCACAAACATTGATAATGACTCTAAAATTAGTGATGCCAAGGCCTAACCAAGCCCCCGCCCCGGCAGGCAGCCTCGTGTTCCTCGGCTCGGCCGTCGGGTGCCTGCTGTGGACGCTGCCCATGGCGTGGATGGGCCAGCGGTGGTCCATGCTGGTCCACCTGCCCGTGTTCCTGGCGGCGTGGCTCACCCACGCCCTCGCGCCCTCCGTGTGGCTCCTGCAGACGTCCCGCTTCTTCCTGGGCGTGAGTGCCGGCGTGATCGAGGCCGCCTCCTACAGCTACGTGACGGAGCTGGCGCACAGCCGGGTGCGGGGGCAGCTGGTGGGCACGGCGGACACGGTGCGGCAGCTGGGCGTGCTGATGGTGTATTCCCTGGGGAGCAGCAGCCTCAGCTGGAGGCAGGTGGCGCTCATCTGCGGCTGCGTGACGACGATCCCTGTGGGCGTCGGGCTCCTCCTGCTGCCGAACTCGCCCCGCTGGCTGGCCACCCGAGGGCGCATGGACGAGTGCAGGGCGAGCCTGGCGTTCTTCCGAGGCGCTCGCTACGACTGCACTTCCGAGATGGAGGCCGTCGTCAGCCAGACGAAGGACGACGGCAAGGACGACGCCAGGATCTTCCAGCAGATCCGGCGGATGAGGGAGCCGCACACCCTGAGGGTCTTCGGCCTCCTCGCCTTCCTCATGTTCTCCGTCCAGTTCACGGGGAACATCGTGGTCCTCTCCTACGTCGTGCCGATCTTCAACGCCGCCAAGGTCGACATTAGCTCCTACATGAGCGCCATAGTGGTCGCGGGCGTGAGGATCGTCGGCACAGTCTTCTCTCTCTCCGTCGTCGACCGGCTGGGGCGGCGGCCGGCGCTGGTCACGGCCTTCCTGCTGTGCTCCGGGTCCCTCTTCCTCCTCGGGATGTTCTTCTTCCTGCAGAAGAGCGGCGTGAGCATGGAAAAGGTCGGCTGGTTCCCCGTGCTGACGATGATGGTGTTTACCTTCGTGACGTGCGTGGGGCACCCCGTCCTGAACCTCGTGCGCGGGGAACTCCTGCCAACCGCGGTCCGAAACGCTGCCAATTCCTTGCTCTTCTTCATCTTCTTCTGCGGGATGTTCTTGGCCTCCCACTCTTACCCCGCCACGGCATCGACCCTGGGGGAGGAGGGGGCCTTCTGGATGTACGGCGGCGTGTGCCTCGTCATCGTGGCCGCCGTGGTGGTCTTCATCCCGGAGACTCGAGGCAAAGTCCTGGAGAACATCGCCAAGAAGGGAGACGAGAACAAGATTTTGACGTCTCCGGAGCTCGACGACGCTGGACCATAAGAACATGACAGATCAACTTTGTTATAATAAGAGTGTATGAGAGAAAGAAGAGCACTTTGCATGTATACTATAGAGTGTGTGAGGGAAAGACGCCTCCTTCCCATTTAACTATTTTAAGTAATAATTTTATATCATTCCATGCTTGATGCCATAGCATAGTCAAGCTGTCCTTTGATTTGCATTTTTATAAGACGAGCTGTATAGGTTTGTTTTTGAAAACGCAATATTTTATCTTGTGTATAAGTTTGTACAATGTTTTTGTGCAATGTTATTGTGTTTCTGTTATCCTTTTAACAAAAATCATGTGAAAACAAACTGAGAATGAAGCAATAAACTTAATTTCACCTTTTTAAGACAGAAAAGTTAATATAGGTTATAGACAATTATCTAAGTTTCTTCTGTGAACAATTTCCATCTTAGAATCACTTATATAAAACAAATGGCAAAAAAGACATAGATTTTTAGAAACCGGAGTTTTTTTATTATCAACTGATGAGATCCACAAAGACATCATGAAATTTTATGATTATTCAAATAAATGATAAATGAAAAATTTATATAAGAATTTTAAATCATCACTTATCAGGAAAGTTATGAGGTACATCAAGAATATAGTGTATGTATATTTTTTGTATTTAATTTTACACATTACAAAATATTTTTTTAAAACACGGAACATTCAACGCAGTTCGAAAAAGATTATTTGTTTTTTTTTAGCATTCAGCATATTTCATCACCAAGTCATTCATTCTCTCTCTCTCTCAATTCCTCCCCCCCCCCTCTCTCTCTCTCTCTCCCTTTCTCTTCCTATTCTCTCTTTCTCTTCTCTCTTCTCCCTCTCTCTCAATTCTTCTTCTTCTTTTCTCTCTCTCTCTCAATTCCTTTCTTCTCGTCTCTTTCTCTCCCTCTCTTTCTTTCTTTCTCTCTCTAAATCTCTCTCTCTGTCCCACACTCCCTTCACCGTTTCGAACCATCCACCCACATCCTACTCAGGTGGCACTCTTCCTCCGGACGTTGCTCCTCGCGCTGAGCTGCTTCAGACGCCCCAGCTCGTCCTCGAGATCTTCCTTGAGGGCGAGCTTCTCCTTCAGATCTCGAGCGAGGACGGGGTCGAGGAGCAGGCGGGAGGCGGGCTGGAGGTGAGCAGAAAGCCTGTTTGACTGAGCCTGTTTCTTGGCCAGGGTCTTCAGTTCGTCCTTCTT